ATCTGACCACAGGTATAGATTTTGAGTTTGTGTGAGATTGGACTTGAACGACGGAGTGTAGAGCGAGATTGGTAAATTTTGGTCAAGTTGAGGGCTTAATTAATCTCCCTCCTTAAATAAGGGAGGGTTGACAGCTAAGTACATGTATTGAGAAACAGTCTTGTCAGACTATGAAATGGTAGCTAGAGTCTAATATAACCAGTAAGTGTATTTACTATTACATTTTGTTAACAGATGTGGCCAGAATGGAATGTGTGTGGGAACAAGATTGGTTATATTATTTCAATAGTTGCTCCAAAAGGGGAGGGGTGCTAGTTACAATAAATACTGTCGGTATTTCTATATATAGCACTGTTTGTACATGGTATCATGTCCTGTCTGTCATCCATGATATATAAATACTACCCCATCATGCATGCTATATGTAAAGATCTATATATAGATTGGTTGTTAACATACCTGCGAGGCGTTGGCAATACAATACCTTGATTGATCTATACCTGTGGGTATATTGGTGTACAATATATATATTGAACATATTTTCACTATGGGTTCAAATCCTGTCTGGCCCATTATTGTTTTTTTCCCTCTCAGACTAGTTCGTGTTACTATTTTTTTGTTTATTATGTCTTTATTTTTTTCGTGAAAGTTCTGCAATGTATGGGTTTTATCCAGAAGTGATGTAGTCAGGTTTGACTGAATGCTGAGCTTTCATGAATGCTGAGCCCAAATTAAGTCTTAAGTAAAGATATTTGTATTATCGTTTTAGAACAAATAGTGTTTCCCTCATTGTAAACAGACTAGTTGTTTGTCTACTTTCTCTATAAACTTTCACTGGTGCAAAACAAGCCCACGCAGGTTCAGGGAAAGAAGACAGGCCTGCGGTATTCCACTGCACGATTAAAGAGGCGACAAATGTGCCCCCCCCCCCCCCCCTATTGCAACACTTGGGGTCTTTTTTGTTTTCTATCCTATCTTTCTTGTCCTTCTTACTTTTCTTTCTTCTTTTATTATCAGGCATTGTCTCCCTAGGCACCTGTCCTCCTACGACCCTGGCTGTAATGTTGAACCCCAAACAAACAAACAAATAAAATGTGAAAACATGCGGCTTAATTCAGTGATGATTGAGAATCAGTAAGAATACAATAACATTTCTTTCAGAGCCTGTTTTGAGGTGTGAATACAGGTTATCCTGTTGCCAGGAGTTGAAATACCTGGAGCAGACCAAGGAATGCTAAATTTACAAATATATATTCAAATAATTGAAGAGATATGTAATTAACTGAAGGTAATTTAAGTTCGAATTCATTAAAGATGTTTTCAATACAATTAAGGCAGAAGCACATATCCTCAAACGAATTGAAGGAATCTTCAATTGAAATTAAAATATCTTCGATGAAATTGGAAATAGGTTCAAATCAAGATGATTAGGTTTGATTTGTCTTATTTGAAGTATTTGAAGTTATCTTCAATTAAATTCAAGATGGCTTCCATTCAATTGAAGATATCTTCAAACAAATTGGAGACGTCTTTATTCAACTGAATTGAAGATATCTACAAATTAATTGTTACTTTCCTTCAACTATTTGAAGAAAAGTTCAATTATTTGAATATATATTAATTTGGGGTTCTATAGCTGAGTCACCATGGTTGAATCACTGTAAAGTCTTAATCTTAAGATCACTTCATAATTGATCCCTACATATAATCGGAGATATTCACAATGCCACACAAAACAATACTAAGGATGGAACTCTTTTATGTGTGAGGAACGTTGAGATGATGATTAACATCATTATTGGCTTAATTATAATATTTGAATGATATTCTACCACGTTAAAATATAATCTACATTTTTTGTAGCCATATATTTAGTGAAAACTGCTTTAATTATTGCGAAACTATTCAGTCATTGTTACATTAAAAACAGCTGTAATAATTAAGAGTACTCAGCATGTTAATTCCTATGACATGAAAAGAGCATGTATAAATATTGCGACATTAAGGAATTTAGTGAAAAAACCCACATGTGACGTACATTAAAATGTTATCACGATTATGTTCAAAACAGGATGTTTAACTGTAAAAATCTGAAATAGAAAGTGAAAATAGGTGTATACGTCATAAATGTTATTTACCGAGTAAATTATTCTATTTTAAGCGAATCAATACTTAACCCATATATCAACATCGATTTTACCTGTGACACAGATAGATCACGCTTTGTACCTTTACAACACCAAATCCGTGACCGCAGACATCAGGCGATCATTGTTATAGCCAGAAGTTTAATTTCTCTCCCGGCAACAGTCATAATATTTAGGCTATCTTAAGGTATTCTTGTGAATCAGGTACACGATTTTTAGATTATACATGTATTTGATTTGTCTGTCATTAATGGTTTTAGATAACACACTCCTTGACATCTACTTTTAAATCGTTAGATCATCTTTGATAAGCCTTAAGACACAACTCGCGACGTTGCAGTGTGCATGTATCTATGATATAATACTGTGCATCACGTATCATTCATGTACATGTGCAAATACCGACGTATGCTGTATTGTACCTTATTTAACCACAAAATAGCCCCCAACTTCTATTTGATAATTGCAAGTCTAAAGGGTATAGAGGCCTTCATACCCCTTATCTACCTCCCCAAACACCCTCTCCCCTTCTGCCCCACACAAGTTCTACTTCTCAAGAAAAGCCATGCATGTTTTAATGCTACCTATTCCAGAAAAGTCATGTACCTTATGCTATTTTTTCTCCAAACACTAGAAAATTTAAAAAGCTATTTGTTATCAAATTTTTTCATTAGCCCCCAAGTTGAAATTCTAATTTTCATATGAAATGCAAAATAGTATTATACTAACAGTAATTTGGAATCTCATTTAGATTGTCGTTATCTTTAATTAATTATGCAAATTATGTACGTAGTCATAAATCTATTTTGTGACAAATAATTACGGTTTCTTGCCCAAATTTCATTTTGTTAGCTGTGACAAATATGCAGTAATGTGTTGATCTTCTTTAAATCCAGATATACATTTAAACCAAATAAAAAAAAGTGACTAGCTCAATTGACATTTGGTTTTCTGTAAAATTCCTTAAAAATGGACCCGGAAGCTTCATCATGGGTTCCATATATTAGATAAATTTGGTTAGCCGTGACAAACAATTCCAAATATACATTTATACCAAACTAAAAACAAGTGACTAGCTCAATTGACATTTGGTTTTCTGTAAAATTCCATAAAAATGGACCTCACAGGAAGCTTCATCAAGGGTTCCATACATTTGACACACTGTAAAAAACATGTTCTTCTGAAGCCTCTATAACAACTTTCCTTCTGTTTGGTCAATTGCATTGGTTGCTGATGCTGTCTGTTCATATCAAACAGTTTTTATTTTGTCCTTGCATGTGGATTCTGTGATATTTTTTCTGAGATCACATTTCCCTATAGGCTAGCTCAGAGGTATATAGACAAGACAGTACATTTCATTACATTTTGATGTTGTAGAATGGATATAATATCAGCATGTGTCTGTATATATAATGGTGGAATAAGTAACTCAGGATTAAAAAAAAAAGTTCGAAAAATAATACCTCAAGCTCAAACATGTGGCCTTCGTTAATTTCTTTTTTTCGAACATTTTCACACACTAATCATGTATACTCCACTAATTATTACATGCATTTATGTTGATTGTTTCTGGAATATAAAAAGTCTCACAAACATTTTATAAATACTTTTTATATTTTTTTTTTTTTTTTTTTTTTTTAAACGAACATTGACATTGGTACGAGATGTGTATTAAGTAGTTCAGTAAATGACATAATTATATATATTCACTTTTGGTGTTGTTCTTATTACATGTAGCTTAAATATATTTGTGTGGAGGGGGAATAGGGGGTGTGGCCAAGAATATAGCCAAAATTAAATTAAAATAATAATTTTCTTAAAGTTAACACCACACATATTTTTACTTATATAAAAAACCACATTATTAGTGGTAGGTATATGCAAACTAAAAACAAAATAGCTAGTACATATGTATGTTAATGTTTCCAAATTGAATGTTATATCCCTGGTAAAGAAAATATTCCACCATAACAGTACATGCATATAATGTATGATACTTCTAAGGGAGTAGCTTTTATAAGTAGGAGGCACGGTAGTCCAGTGGTAGGACCTCGGGCTCGTGACCGAAGGGTTGAGGGTTCGCGCCACGGCACGGCAATGTGTTGTATCTTTGAGCAAGATACTTTACTCCGCTTGTTCCAGTCTACTCAGCTATAAATAAATAAGTGGTTGGGCAGTGCTAGAATTGTTGAATGCTTGCTAGCTGTTAGCGCCGAAATGGCAGCTCCGGCTGTATGCTCCCCCAGGGAGTTGAGACATGTATTGGCTGGTTGCAAAGGCCCTATAACCATGGATAATAATTTGTGAACCGCTTTGAGACGACCTACGAACTAGGTTGTGATAAAGCGGTTTATGAGAACCTCAAATTATTATTATATTATTATTATAAGTACATGTATATGGTATCACGTACATTTTATGACCCAGATACTTATATATATATATATATACGTAATCAGCACACATTCATGAATATAACCTTTTATGAATCTTCTTTTATATCAAATTTGTCTTTGGTTTTCAATGGGAGACTTATCATTATATAAGTTGACATACATTAACACTAATATAAGTATACCATGTATGAGACAAGACCTTTAAGAAACACAAGTTGTGAATGGCAGCAAGGTGATGATATCTGCGTCATAGATGAACAGTTTTTTTTCACAGCTAGATGATTGCCTGTAACTAATGTAACTCATGATCACCACAGGAAGTTCAGAGCTAATGAATGAACTTTAATATGCGTAGGTGATTCGACCCTATGAGTTACATGTACCAGGCTATACTGTAGAAATAGCGCAATTACTCATTTCTTAACCTTAATGACTTTATCCTTTTTTGTCTTTCCAGTTGGAGAGCCAAGAAAATATGACCCAAACTTTAAAGGCCCTTTGAAAAACCGGTAGGTTGGCTTTGAGTTGCTCTACTTATTGCTGTATATCATTTATTCACACTATAGATGTTGCATCATGACCGCGATACTCCATTGGTAATGCTCACTTTCATTCTCTGCACCCCTGGAATATGTATATGTCATGACAAAATTGCAGTTTCAAACTGTGTGCAACCTTAAAGCTTGTCGATGAGACAAGTTTGATCCTTTGATGTACATTAAAAGAATCTGACGGTCGGAAACAGTAAAAGTAACTGGCTTTGAAGATGGGTGTCACTCCTCGGTAATCTTCAAAGCACAGCTGGTATCAACCCGGTGATTGGTCAGATATTTTTACCTGAGACCAATCAAATAGCTAGCCATGTGCCTTCAATTTTGCTATGACATATTCCAGGGGAGTAGAGAGCGTAAGTGAGCGTAACCCCTGAAGTATTTAAGATGCAGATGGTGATGAGGGATATATAGTTTAGGTAGTATATCATATTCACCAAAATAGCCATTTTTGACATGTTCCATTCTTTATTTCTTTTTGTTTTTTGTTAATGTTGATGATACATAGATATATATTAATATCAGTTTTCATTTTAATGTTTAAAAATAGAACTTGTTTGAAAAAACCTTAACCTGTTATTACAAGTGATTGGATTCCAAATGAAGGTCATAGAAGGCAGAGACTACTTTAAACGTGGAAATTCTCGCGTGTAGAAAATTATTGTCTCCCTTGTGACTCTTTAAACTGATTGTGGTGTGGAAGTTTTGGCACTGGCAATCATTCGGAAATTTAATTTTGCTTATATATCTGTAATCTGTAAACATGAATATACATGTTTTCATATTTTTTTGCGCTAATTCCTCAACTCATAAAACGTGAGCATAATTTTCCAAACCTAAAAAAAACACCTTTCAGTACGCTAACAGACATGTAGAGAACATGATCAGATACAGTCTTATTATTAAATATAGGTCAACAAGACAATATAAACAGATTCTGATGACAATATAGATATATCTATCTATTTTAAGATAATGTGTACATGTTAATTGTAGTTGCATGCTTTAAATAACATACATGTGTTTCTATCATAGTCATCTTGCTAAGTGTTCCTCCCCACAAATGCCTCCCTTCCCCTTTTATCGGGAGTAATTGAAATTATATAGATCCTGTCTTTAAGTCCTGACCAGGCTCAGAGTGAGTGAGTCAATGATTTATAGTAGTTAACTCATTCACCCCTGAAATTTCATAATGAACTTTTCCAACCTTTGAATTGGAAGAGTTCAAATGTGTCTTCAGCGTTTCCTTACTGAAGCAGATGAAACATTTGGAAACGTTTTCCAAACCAAACCTCCAGCCATACTGGAACGTTTAGAATATCCTTTGTTGATAATAACTAATTGAAATTGCATTTTTTTTTTATCATAACTCACGTTTGATTATCCTAATAAGCCTCCTTCCATTCCTCCCTTTCTCCGAAATCAATTTTGATTTTTTTAAGCATTCAAATTTCGGTGAAATATGGTAATTAAATCACAAAACAAACAATAATAGAAATGTGTCCCTTGCTAAAGTATCCCTGAATATCCTTTGGTGATAACAACTTGTTTAAGTTCCAAATTTTCTTTTATCATAAATTATGTTTGATTATCCTAATAAGACTCCTTTCCTCCTCCCTTTCTCCGAAATCAATTTTGAAATTTTTAAGCATTTAAATTTCGGTGAATATGGTAATTAAATCACAAAACAAACAATAATAGAATTGACAAATGTGTCCCTTGCCAAAGTATCCCTTAATATTTTTCATTCAAAATATTTAAATTTGCGATCAAACCATCTCACTAATTATTATGAAAACTTATTTCTCTCTTTAAAAAATCTTCGAAACCACTTTAAAAGACATGCTTGCATAACAATACAATACAATTTTTGATGACAGGTCCTGTACCGACATCATATGCTGTCTGCTCTTCCTCTTCTTCGTCACGGGAATGGTGGTCTGTTCTATCCTCGGTAAGTATATTGACATGCATCAGTGTTATGTTTGCCATTTACAGAATATATGTTTAAATAAATATTATCTATTAACAATAGCGTGTTATATAATGTTCTTGTTTACACTTTTCGTCGTTGGAATTGTTGTGTGTTAATCTAGCTATTCTTGGTAAGTTGTTTACAAGAGTTTATGTTATGTTTGCCATATGTATGAATTATACTTAAATATACATACATGTGTATTAAGAATCAAACTGGAAACATTTTCAAACGTTACATACTGTTTTTGTTTACATTTTTCTCTATTCAGCCCATCATAGATTTCAGAAATGATTCAATAATGTATAAATTAGAGGCCTTTATATATACATAAACCTTTTGTTATTCTGAAATAATAATTGTGCAGGCATTGGTTGAACTGTTGTTTACTGCTTCAGTCTCTTGAAAACTCATGTGTAATGCCTCTTGATTTTTTTTCTTTCTGGAGAGGCCTCAAATGAGGGAAATAGGAAATCTTGAGCACTAGAGGGAAACATATTATAATTGCCTGTTATGTGAAGAATGTAACCCAATCAGATTTGCTGTTACATAGCTGAGGTATTAATAGAATCTATCGCTACTGGTTGTGTAAGATAGAGAAATCTCAACCCGAGGACTAAAATTTTTTGTCCAGAACGAGGCTTGCCGAGTTCAGGACAAAAAATCTTAGTCCGAGGGTTGAGATTTCTCTATCTTACACCACCAGTAGCGATTGATTATTTTTCTCCCATATCTAACAGTATTTTAATGTGAAATTAAGGTAAACATGGACCCAAAACACATACAGGTAATTTGTTGATGGATTGTTGATGTGACGTCATTGTATTGTTGAAGTGACGTCATGCCATTGTTATGAATAGGGGAATCCCCCCGTCTCAACCCTAGGGCGGAGACAGATAAATCTAGCACCGGCAAAACGGGAGATAAATCTGTCAGGTGTGGGAGAAAACAATATCAATTTATTGCCCTTGTTGTAGGAGAATATGATTGATTGAGGGAAACAAAAATTCATTGTTTCCCTACCACAAAAACAACAAATATTTTATGTACATGTACCAAAATAGAAAAATAACAATGAAGATGATGAGGTCAACCCAGAATGTTGTTTTTGTTTGCTCCAGTTATTCCTAACAATCAGCTATGATAAATATGTGTTCCTCACTGTTTAGATCAAACCCAAATAAGGGAAACATTATTTGGGAAAGTTGAGCATGTGAAGGAAATATGATGTTTTGTTTCCTGGTCATGTGATCAATATATATATAGGTGAGATATATTAATAAAGGTTGATGTGTTTTCTTGCAGGATTTACCCGAGGAAACCCTTACAAGTTGATCTACCCCACCGACAGCTCTGGTAATGTCTGTGGCCTGGACACGAAATCGTAAGTACTTAGTACACTACCTTACACTACATCTGTAACAATTGATGGTCACGAAGTTCCTGCTTCTAGTAACTTTTCATCATGACTCAATCTTTTATTGCAAGGCATTTTTTTTGAAAAGTATCCCCCTTAATTTATTCCCATTACATAGTAAGGAAATCAATCATATTCAAACTTCAAGAAATTGAACTTCAAAGATTCAAATTCCATGTTGTGTCGAACTTACGCCATTTAAAGTCCAGATTCTTTTTCTTATATATCACTACTGATATCCCATTTATGAATCAAACTTTGATGAGTCAAATTTCCCACTGTTTCGGACTAAAATCAAGGTGTCTGATCATAAGGAAAACATTGAAAATTACAACTAACAAATAGATGTAAAAGAATTACCTGTACAAGAACTTAGAAATGTTGTCCATGCAAACTACAGTTTAAAAATACATGAAACATATTTTCATGTCTCTCCTTCGAATGAAGGGAGGGAGACATATTGTATTAGAGTTCTGGTTCTTCTTGGTTTTCTGGTACTTCTTCAGGTTCTTCTAATCGCAACTTGTCTAGGCCATACATTTTAAACCGTTAAAGATATCTTGATAAAACTTGTGGTATGCATGCATCACTCACAGAAAGTGTGCAGTGCACTGAAATTAGGTCACTGTGACCTTCACCTCAAGGTCAAATAAGTGCAACATTTTCTGTAAATTGTTGTCCAGTCGGTAAATTTTAAACTGTTAAAAGATATCTTGATCAAACTTGAACTATACCTGCATCACCAACAGAAAATATGCAGTGCACTGTAACTAGGTCTCGTGCTACACTATATACAGAGTTATGGCCCTTTGTTTATTTTTTATACCGAAGTTTGTCAGGAGCATAAGTTCCATGTTATTTCACCTACGTTGACCAAACTTATCATATTAATGTATCTTGGGAAGGCGGAATCTCTCGCACTGACACCGGGTTTTGTTCCCCGCTATATTTAGAGTTATGGCCCTTTATTTTTTAATACCGAAATTTGTCCACAGCATAACCTCCATGTTATTTCAAATACGTTGACCAAACTTGCTATAGTTATGTATCTTGGGAAGTAGGAGTGTCGCATTCGTAATTTGGGTCTCGTGCCCCAGTATATAAAGAGATATGGCCCATTGTTAATTTTTATACCAACATTTGTCTATTGGCGAATAAGGGGAGACATATTTTTTTGTTCACAAAAACAAGTTTCTAGTTCTATAATTACATTAAATCCAATATCTATAGAGTTCAAATTAAATTTCTTGTCTTGTGTTCCATCATTTAACAATCACATTCAGTTTTATGCACTATATTTAACATTTGTGTGTCGAAGTCTCTATGATTAAATTTTTTCCTGATGGAAAAGTTCAAAACTTCAAAGTTTGACCGCTGCACTGATGCTGTAGTATAAGGTCTCCATTGTAGACAGTTTTTAAAGCTTACCACATGCTCACTTGGATATGTTCTAAGTAACTATCAGTCCGTACAACAAACTGTAACCATAGACTTGTATTTGGGAAATGCAAAATCAATCCCAAACTTTTTGAACTGTTTCGAATGGGGAAAAAAATTGCCATCTTTAAAATCGCAGACCAGAATTTAAAAAAAAGTACAGGAAAGCATTTTTATTTTATTTTTTTGCATTATTTTTAACTTACGAATAATCGTGATCAGACCAGGATTGAAAAAAAAAATTGCTGATTGTGCACAACATTCTTTTATTTCAGAGGCAAACCATACTTGATGTATTTTGATATTTTACAATGTGCTAAGATGGGGGCAAGTGCTATAGTGGCTGGCTGTCCTACCCCACAGGTATGCTGTACCCCTTATGACATGTTCACATATATATATCGTATATGACCTAATAGGCGCACCTGCCTCTATACGTAAACCTTTTTTTTCTGGGAAAGGGACAGGTTGTGCTTAATTAAAACCAGTAAATATGTAGTTTTTTTCACTGATCTGATGATATAATCTTCAGTCTTTTGACCGAAGGCTTTGTTCCCATTAGCCTTTACATTTACTAGGCAATCTAAGCCAGTGGTTTAGCATCATTTTCTGTTTAAAAAATGTGGCCAATTGTCTCCGTAAAGTTATTTGATTCAACCTTTGAATGATTCCACAAATGTTTTGAAGGTTGGTTTGAACAAATATGGACACCGTCAGTTTCAGCTGGTTTGAATATTAAAGGATTTAAGTAAGCCCACCCTCCTGTGTTTTTGTAAGCACACAATTTAATGCGCTTAAAAGGTCAAATATGGTATTGTATATGGCAGGTGACTTTTTTATAAGTGGTTAAAATCATGACTATAGAAAAAGTTCAAAAGTTGTAAGGAACTTATTATAGTTTGTTCTTTCAATAACCTGCTAATCAAAACACATTATTTTTCTTACATCAATAAAAGTATCAAGGGTTTCAAAAAAGAAAAAAGGCTTAAAATCTTTTCGTGTAATTATTATACCCAGAATTGGTATTTTTTCCATATTAGACATCTTGCATTGTACAGGTGAAAATACTAAAATATTCATACTGAAGGTTGAAATATATATAGCAATATATTGTGGCATTCATCATGGAATAGACAATATCTTCTATCTATTGTTTAAATTGTACATTTGATGGTAAATTGTCTATACAGTATTATTCGATGCTACAAGGAAGTTTGTCATTGTTTGTTACAGGTTTGTGTGTCAGCCTGTACTACAGACTACTGGGTCTACCTGGAGGCCATAGCAACCACCAGTACAACTGGACTTCTTTGTAAGGACACTGTGGACACATCAACGGTTTCGTTCTCAGTAAGTGATGATGTCATCAATAAATGTGCTTTGAAGGATAATGCTTTGATAAACATTACATCACTTGATATTCCTCAGTTTTATCTTTGATCAATGTTAATTGATTACCATATTAATTGAACTCAGTTAAGTGCACTTTATTTTTTATTTTTTTAAATATGTAGGACCTTTAATTGAATAAATACCAAGTATAAAATAGTTCATTCATCCTCGATACCCCAGGAGCTATGCATACTGACTTTTCTGCACCTCTGGCATATGTCATAGCAAAGTTGAAGGAAAGTGCCTATAGCTATTTGATTGGTCTCAGGTTAAATTACCTGCTATGCAGTTGAACCTCACTGGCAAACAGTCCTTTAAAGATTAAAGAGGAGCAACACCTGACTTCAAAGTCATTCAATTTTACTGTTACACTAATACTGGATTCATTGATATACATAAAATGATCAAACTAAATTTTGTTATGACATATTCCAGGGATGTAGAGAGCATAAGTGAGCGTATTGAGGATGTAGGTTATGGACCAACAACTATAACAAGACTTTCAGAACATTGACACCATGAAAAGATCTTGCTATAATGTGATTAATTGAATGTACCATAATGAATCTTACCACAATACATGAATAATATACATATCTCATTATAAAGCTTATGGAATAGGTGTTGTTTATTGACCTTAATGACTTTGCCGAACTCTGAGAACATAAACACAGCAAAAGTATGGAGCTTGAGTTGATTCAGCTGTGTCATACTGGTCTGATCATGGTTGTCAATATCTACTTAAACATTTTATTAGCTACCAAGTTTGTTTCCAATTATAAATCAGTAAATTTACACCTGCCTTGTAGCTTGTTCTTGACTTAAGTGACGATCGGTAAGACTCCAAGAACTCATCTATTTCAGTTACAGTTGTAAACCTTTTATTCAGTTAATTTTAAGGACACTAATTTTGAGTTACCTGAATTTGAATTAATATCAAAATATTCTCGTTACTGTCACATATATGTGTGATTGATGAATTTAATTGCATGTTGAACATTTATCATGTTTTTAAAATCAAGGTTAGTTTTGTTCAAAATCCAAGTTAAATGTAATATCATTTGTAAAATATATAATTGTACCTTGTTTCAGCAAATCAGTTCACTTGTATCCAATGATGACTGTGCTGCCTACTATGTAAAGAACACTGCCAGTAAGTACAGTTAAAACTTCTTTCTATTCCTTTGAACAGTAAAATATCAGAAAGACAACCGGATTGCATATTTATTTGCTGGAACTCTGGTATGTCACCAATTTGGCATATCCACTTTGAGATTGACATTTTTTGCACATATTTTCATGTTTTGTTTCTTTTTAAAAAGTCAATTCCAAGTGAATTAATTGATAGCAATTCTTCATTATACCTGTTGGCTGTGTGTTTGTCAATGAACTTTTTACCTGTTGGCTCTGTGTTTGTCAATGAACCTTTTACTTGTTGTCCCTGTGTTTGTCATGCAATGAACCTTTTACTTGTTGTCCCTGTGTTTGTCATGCAATGAACCTTTTACCTGTTGGCTGTGTGTTTGTCAATGAACCTTTTACCTGTTGGCTCTGTGTTTGTCAAGGAACCTTTTACCTATTGGCTCTGTGTTTGTCAATAATTATTTTACCTGTTAGCTCTGTGTTTGTCAATGACCCTTAACCTGTTGGCTGTGTGTTTGTCAATGAACCTTTTACCTGTTGGCTGTGTGTTTGTCAATGAACTTTTTACCTGTTGGCTCTGTGTTTGTCAGTGACCCTTTTACCTGTTGGCTCTGAGTTTGTCAATGATCCTTTTACCTGTTGGCTCTGTGTTTGTCAATGAACCTTTTACCTGTTGGCTGTGTGTCTTGTTGTCCATGGACCTTTTGTCCCTTTAACCTTTTTGCTCTGGGTCTATATGTGTTGATTCCTTTACCTGTTGGCCCTCTGGGGCCCGTGCTCCCTTTTACCTGCTTTGTCTACACATGACTGTTTTAAAGTTTACTTTCCAAACAACCAATCTCAGCAGCTGATTTTTTAGTTCACCTGAGCTTTAGCTCAAGTGACCTATTGCTATCCGTCTTCTCCGTCGTCGTGCGTCGTCCGATAACATTTTACATTTTCAACTTAAGCTGAAATACTGGCAAAGCAAAGGTATTTCATAAATATTTCATGGGAAGGTTACTGACATCTCCCTGACAAAGTGTTGTTATTTTTCGGGTCGATCAGAAATCCAATATGGCCGACACGGCCGACATTTTTAATAACTATTTCAAACTTAAAGTCAAGTTCTACTGAGCCGATTGAGCTGAATCTTAATAGGAATGATCAACTCAAGGTCCTGACAAAGTGTTGTTATTTTACGGGTCGATCAGAAATCCAATTTGGCTGCCATGGCCGGTATTTTGAAAATAACTATTTCAAACTTAAAAACAAGTTCTAATAGGCTGATTTAACTGAAAGCTGGTCTAGGAATGATCAGCTTATGGTCCTGACAAACTTAAGTTAACGTTATACTTAACTATTTTTTATTCTAATTGGTACTTATTTCAATAACAAAAATAAATACTGTAGGACTCAGGTGACCGTTAAAGGCCCATGGGTCTCTTGTTTAGTAATATGGACGGTGCTATTACTGACATTCATTCTGTTCAAGATGTAATAACTATACAGCTAGTATGTACCAGTGTCCCCCTTCCTGAGCAAATGTGGAGAAAACATTGCAGTGTGTTAACTTTACAGGTGGCAGCTACTAATTGAAATAAAACAGATTAAAGCACTTTCTCAAATTCATAAAAAGAACCCAAAAAACTATGATTTAGAACTAAGATATTGAATTAGTTATGCCTATATATTCCTTAGATACCTATATTAACTCACCTTGTCTTGATCTGAAAACCCAAAGTTAGCTAATACCATATACTATGGCAATTGTTGTCCATCCGTCAGCAATTTCACAAGAAACATCTTAAGGTTGTAAGGATTCAAATTTGTACAGGTGAAGAGTTGACTCCCAGGGGAGTTGAGAAGGGGTGGGGGCAAACATGGTAACTTATAGCCATGATTGTTTCTGGCAACTTTGCCTTGGAATTGTGCAATGGATATCAGCTGTATTTGGTTGGAGTCCTCCTCAGGTGGTGATGATTCAGATCTGTGCTGCATCAAAATGATATATTAGGTATAATGAATTTGGAACTTACTAATGAATCACTCATGTAAGCCTGGTTGTATGCACATAAAAGTGTCTTCATGCAGGGATGAAACTAGATTACCCAGAGAAAGCCTTCATGGTCAGGCAGGGGACTCCATATCTGGTCACATCCCATCCAGGAATCAAACCCAAGCCGCCTTGTTGAAAAGAGATTGCAAAATATCCACAGCACCACCTGGCGGCCAAGTTTAAAAGAATATTTTTGTTAACAGGATAATGACAAGGGGCTACTTAGATGAAGTGTGCAAATGTTGATATATAGTACAGTTGTTAACCTGCATTATAATAGAGTGAATATATATATAAATAGATTAACCTTCATTTTACAGTTGTCGGTCGTTGTGTGCCATCCTTCTTTCTGGAAGTCACAAACTATGCCTCTAACCTACAAACCAGTGGAGCTTACAACCTGACAACCTCTGACGGAAGTAGTGTCACAGCAAATGATATGACAAGTGCCAGCTAGTAAGTAAAACCCTTGGTATATATATTCATAAAAAAAAACCTGCATGTTTATACTGCAATGTGTTTTTATTATTATGACTTAACTATATATCAGATGACGACATGACATTAGGACATTGACATTAAAAACTGAAACAGTTGTTCGACTGACTATATGTTTTCATCCTCAGACACCAGCTGATGAATACAGGAATTATTGCAGAAGCTTGTCCTAAAGGTCTTGCAACATTTCTCAATAAAGTTATTCTTGGTTTTTCTGCTGTGTCCGTTTTAATGGCCTTAATGCACCTTATTTAGAAATTTGTCATATTCAGTGTTGCATTAAAAATGCATTATTAATGTTGTGTAGGACCAAAATTACAGATAAGAAATAGGAGAAAAGAGTCAGTTATAATATATGTAAGGGGCATATGGAAACCCTAAGCTTGGTTCACATATTAAGAGGTCAGAACCATAACAAAGCTTTGGTGCTACACCCCTCGAGTAAAATTTCCCTATCCCCCAAATGATACACTTTCCAAATTGCTGAATCAATCAATTCATAACTTACCGTCAAAGAGACATGAAAGTTAGGCCTACTGTAGAGATTATTTATACTATTTTATTGTACAAGATAACTTTAACCTACAACTTTTTGTAATGGTAAAAAATGACAATGCAATCAGATTTTAAGTTATCACATAAGTATGTTTGCAGTTTATTTTTACGAGTATATTTCAAAATATTTCCCAAAATCCCAGAAAAATTACAATAAATGGATGCGACCTTGGACTGGTTTTAGATTGTGTGCGCTATACACTTTAACGAATCTATAGAGACATGTACAGTCCATAATAAGACATAAGCAGAGTACTGATGTTGCCTTCAAAAGCTATACATGAACAAGTTCTACAGCATACACTAATGCTGCCATTGTTCCAATTTTCTCCTATAGCTACCTAGCCAAATTCTACACGGCCACCCAGTACATAGAGATGGTGTTCAAGGACATTGTGGCATCTTGGTGGCTACTCCTGGTGTTCATGGGCATTGCTATGGTAACTTGCTTCATCTGGATCGTTCTTCTTCGTTGGATCGCTGGCATCATGGTTTGGATCAGTGTCATCCTAGTGTTTGGTCTTCTTGGATTTGGTAAGTCTATAAATAAAGTTTTAAAATCACGTTATGATATTGGCTCCCAAACAAATGATGGTTATCATGGTTATCATGTTTATCTAACTCGAGTTAGTTCATTTTCCTTCAAATTGTATAAAGACACAAGCTTTACTAAGTGTATTTTACAATTTGAAAATTAACTAACGAGAGTTAGCTAGATAAGCAGGATAATGTACCACGAGTTTGGGAACATTTTCCCCCCACAACATCATATGTTTCTCTTGGGAATACATTGTTGATGTTTCTGATTTGGGAAACATTTGCCATGAAGTAATTGATGTCATAATGGTTGACGACGTTGCAAGTCATTGTTACTTGATGTCATTATTAGAAGATTGACCAATGAAGTCATGTCCAGGGTGTTATCCCCCAATGAGTTCCTGAGACTAACCAAATATTTTACCAACTCCTAACAGGTTCAACCATGAGTTTGTAATGAGTACATCTATAGTGGTAACATGGGAGAAAATGTATGATCACTGTTTCTGTGAATATGTTATTACTTATACAAGTGTATAGTATTGTAGAAACTTCAATCTCCGGTAATCCATGATGATGTACTAGAATAATAGCCAAATCTTATAAAAATACATATATATATATACAAAAATGCATAATTTTCATTGTGTTCACATTTCAGCGTGTTACTACAGCTATTCACAGTACTATGAAATGAAGAACCAGAATTCAACAGCTACCTATGGAGTGTCTGAAGCTTTCGCCCTTAACTTCGGTTACTACCTCCAGCTTAAGGAGACTTGGCTAGCCTTTGGTATGATCAGTTTTAGACAGCTTTGACAATGTTGTTCATATTGAATGTTACATTATGTTTTAATTTTCCCATTTTTTTCTTTCTTTAATTACCATATTATATATAGCTGATGCACAATGAACATTGCGATGGTGTTCATGCATTTGTTGTTCGACATCATTTACTATTGTAAACTGTTTTAAATTAAAAAAAATTAAATATCCATATATGAAAAAAAAAAGGAAAAACAATAATAATGTACAGCTTATCAATTTAAATTAAAAAATAATTCAAATTTTGTAAGACAAAATTCAACAATTATATATGGTACTTATATTTAATAAAATGATGCTTTAAAACATAATTAACTTTAATCAACAATACCTACTGTCTGTTTATGTCTTTTCAGGCTGCTCCACTGCCACTTTCCTGATAATTTTCCTCCTGATATTTATTTTCCTGGTCAAGAGAATCTGTATAGCAATTGAACTGATCAAAGAAGCGAGCAGGTAAAAAAATTGTCACTCGGTGTTATATGCTTTGTTGACATGTAATGTACATGTACTACCTGTATTTTGGCCTTTTTCTTGGGAAGTGTTATCTCCAATAGTTTTGTCAGGGGAACCAGATAGCTCAGACGCTATTACTCCTCAGACAAATTGATACTCAGAGAGCAGTTCACGAGGAAAGGGCCATAACATGTGGTTGTTCTATTAATTCCTGTTGTCCGTATCAGCCAATTATCCATTGAAGATATAATACCAGACTGAGCATGCAGCTTTAGTGGTGTGTTTATGCTGTAGTGATTGGAGATTATTTGTTTTAGATAAATAGAATCTATCATTCCTAACCTCGGGCTATTGATATCTTTACTCAAACCCTCGGGTGGAGCTTTCTCTGTTAACTCATTCACCCCTGAAGATGTTGGAATAGTTCAATATGAAATTTCAAGGGTGATTGAGTTAACAGAGAAATCTCCACCAGAGGGTAAGAGTAAAGCTATTAATATCCCGAGGAATCTCACACGAGTGATTAATCTCCTACACTTTCTTACCATTAAAATAACATGAAATGATGACCCCAATATACAAGGCTATCATCAGGAGTGAATGAAATGTGTGACAAAATTGATGATGCTACCCAGGTTACAGTCAGCATAAAGTGATGATGTTTTCAGAATATTAGCGCATTATAGTAAGCTGTCGATCTTTTCCTAAGTATGTATTGGTAAAGACAGGTTTTTAACTTTTTTTTCTCAAGGAAAAATAGGATTGCACCTGTTAGGAAGAAAATCGGTTCTGATGTAATAAAACTGATTTTAAAACTTCTAAAAAAAAAATCTGTTTTAATGGGACACATATTTTTTTATATTTGCCATGCATTATTTGCTAAAAATAAATTAACATATATTTCTATCTTTATTTCAGAGCCATCGGTCACATGATCTTTACATTGATTTGGCCGATCTTCCCCTTCCTCCTCCAAGTCTGCGTGGTGGGATACTTTGGCATCAGCGTTTCGTATCCTTTAAAAAAATTTTTTTCAATATAAACAGAACAAACAAACCAGAAAGGTATTATACATGTAGCTGTATTAGGTGAGCACCCACAGGAAGCCCAGAAACTCACCTCTTAATACAGGTGCAGGCCTCTTAATTCAGACTCTTTTCATAGCAAAATTGTTGCGATGGGGAAAATCAAAAGTTGTGTCTTGAAATCGCTGGTCTCCAATGGAATTAGTCCCATGAGCAGGTTTTACTGTAACGTCAGTGAAGGCAAATTCGTCACATTAATAAGGCCGATGAGCACCAATACAGAAGAAGATTCAACTGAAATGCCTATAAATAAACATTGTTGTAAACACGCCTGAATTACGTCACGCAGCAACATTTGTGACGTCATCAGGCCTTCCGTGGTTTTGCTCAAAGGTGCAGGCAGTTTCGCCACCTTCAAACATTTAACTAATTTACAAGTAATCTAAGTGTTTAAATGTAAAATTTTGTATGTTTATGTTATACAAGCCGTACTGATACAAACAGCTCAAAATGTGTGTGTGTAACAATGATTAACATTGAAGTACACGGCTTTTCTTAGTTGTGATAGTTAGTTTTCGGTAAATTGAAGAAACTGATTAATGTTGTTTGAGAAAGATGACGGGTATCGGCTGAGGTGATGTCAATTTACATGATACGCAATGAAGACTCTGTCCTTAACAAATATAAACAGGTGTTGTAAATGTACTTACTTTTTCATGTAAAAATCAGTCTTTGGTAACTGTCGGTCTCTACGTACAATTAGCATGCGATTGTACAGCAGTACTTTCAGGCCAACAACAAATTCCTTTCAGATATAAATCTAGAAAATTTCTAGATGGTATTTTTATTTAAGTGTTGTAAGATTATTGAAATTGAGACGCAAACAATACTTTTCAAAAAGATACTTGTTGATTGTATTCTAAATACACATTGCATGAAAATGGAAACTGACGAATTATCAAATCGCGAATCTTTCCGATCGTCATTTCCGTCAACACGCATTGGATCATCAGTACATTGTACATGTACCAAAGTACACTTGTAGAAAAACAATTTACTTGCATTAACTGCATTTAGCGTTAAGATATGGGTATTTTCATGTGTATGTAATAAATTTACACTAAATAACAACCAACTGGCCTCAGATTAATGAGTTTAGTTGACGAGATGTCCGTCGCACAGACCAAATTTTTAAGATTTGTTGTGTTACAAGATATTTCATAACTGTTTTGATTAAAAGTATAGCTTTTCCCTTTTTATACCACTTCTTGTCAAAATATGTGAAGGTTTTAACTGTGTTGAAGACTATGGTGACGTTATTTACGTCACATTTTATGTATTATGATGTCATATGGCATTTTCGTCACATGGTGGCGAATTTGGGTGCATGACGAATTTGCCTGCACTAACGTTAGGTTACATCCAAATAACAATAAAAAAGACAAAATTATTATAACACAAAGTATTTCTGTTTTTATTAAAAGACTTTTATTCTGATTGTAAATATATATGTTTGTTATATATTTATATTTTACTTTTAGAAAATAAGAAACTTAGTTCTTTTCCTTATAGATTTATTCCAGGATATCTTATCCATACGAATTCAAATTTACTCCGTACTTTAATGAACCACAGTAAAATACAGGCTTTTAGGTTAAGGGTATATACCACTGCATCATTTATAATTGCACAGAAGAGTTCCTTCACTCAGAGTTTTTTTTCTTGGAGCATTCTCCCTTCTAGATAGAAAATGAAGCAACTTAAAGGAGTTTTTTCTGACTTAGAGTAATGTCCCCTGTCAAGATTTTCATATGATTAACAGCCCATACATTGGACACTTAGTTTGATGTTGTACTTTTATCTTTATCATTATGGCCTTGACCTCATCACAGTTATATAGCTACTATGGGTAATGCAGAGTACTATAACAACTCGACCAACACTTCGACTGATGGTGTAAACTACTATCTAGAGAGAATCACCTGCACTCCTAACGTAAGTAAATTTAAAACTTTTTTACCTAATCTGCATAACTCATACTTGCCAACTTTTTGAAATTTCCATGGGGAGATTACGCGTGCTTAGAATTAAAAGCAGAAATAAAATATGTGTGCCGGGAATGTACACCCTAGGGAAAAAACAACACTTTCAAATGGCATCTTTTGAGCTGTTCTTTCAGATGAAATCATTAAATGTTAGAATATAGGAATAGTTTAGCAAATTCACTGGTTGAAAATGCTCAATTTTAGGGTCCGAAATTGGGAGTCTCCCCCCAAAATCGAGAGAGTTGGCAATTATGATAACTAACATTTCCTAGCCAACACTAGAGGATATCTTTTGATCAGAATTTTCTGTACATATTTATTCAGAAAAAAGAATGGATTCAAATGATAGAAAGTATGAATAATTGATGCAACATATGAAACAAATCAGCCAAAAAAGATGTCCTATTAAGGGACCCTCTTCATCAATCCATGATACAATTTTGCTTTTTGTTTGTAGATGATTCACATGTTTTATATTTTTTACTCCCCAGGACACAACTTTAGGATCGCTTTGCGATTTTGTCAAGTATGGAGGCACCGAGTAAGTTTCTACTTGTACAGCTCAAAATCATATATCATGACTTGGAAACCAGAATATATTGCATATTATATTTTTTTGATATGGAGAGGGAAAATGTTAAAGCTTCCTATTTCATGCAGATTATTTTGGTATTCAATTTGCCTTATCTTCCCTGAAGTTTTGAAAGATCTGTGTTATGTACAGTATGTATTTTTGAGCCAACGTCTTCAAAATGAATTATTTCTGATAATTTAAGCCTTCGATTACAAACTAACTGAGGGGATGTGCGATAACAGCAGCATATTTCTTAAATGATAACTGCTTAGTTTTGGTTATGCATTTTATGTTGTGATGTTGTTTCATAGTGACTGTTTATCTTTGATATATGTTGTGATATATAAGTGTTCATGTTTCTGTCTTGAAATAGGGGTAGATTGCCTTGAAAATGCGACAAATTCCTTTGTCTGTACTGTAGTTATCATTTCTATGCTTATTATCATCTATTTAAGTAATACATATCCAATGAATGTTTGATTGTTTGAATCCAGTACCCATATTCCATCATACTGTCATTATTACTTATGAGACTTTTATGGTTTTTTCGACAGATATATAATTCCGATGCAGGTATATATGTTGTTTATGTTCCTGTGGCTGAACAACTTTGTGATTGCATTTGGCCAAATGGTCCTAGCTGGCTCATTTGCTTCTTATTACTGGGCCTTCGAAAAGCCAAAGGATATTCCTCATTTCCCAATCACGGGGTCTGTCTGGAGAGCATTGAGGTAAGATACGGAAATATAGCTGGTGTATTACATCAGTATATATTATTACTCATTCACCCCTGATATTTCATAATGAACTATACCAACCTTTGAATTGGAAGAGTTAAAATGTGGGTTCAGGGGTGAATGAGTTAATAACATTGTATCATTAAGCCCCATAATACCATATGCATGTACCAGGCAATTGTTTGTTGTAATAAGACTGAATTTATCATGACAGTAAATTAAAGTTTACAGCATATGTCATATACCATGTATAATTATTACATGTGAATCGAAGGGCAAATTAACGCTAGATGAACATGGGGTTTTCCATTAAAGGGCAAAGATTTGATTTGGCATAATTTTCCTAGTATACAGTACAATGTACTTGAAACATATCGTAAAGGACTATATAGTTTGGGCCTTTTTTGGCCCCCAAATCCATCGAAATTAAAATCTTCAATAGAACTTTCAAACGACTGTTTCTTTAATTTTGAATACTTCCTCTATACTATCATGTAAACATTTATTTTTGTTTTCAATTATGGATGCCATGATAACCAGTTAATATTTGCACAAATTGATGTAATTCAAATATTATGTCAATTTTGACAGGTTTTCGCCTAGCTTTTCTTTTAGCTACCATAGAGCGCACTCTTGAACAAACTTTATATTTCTCCTAAAGATGTATAACAGGTGTCTACACATTATCCTTTGATATTGAGTTTGTTCAAGCATGCGGTCTATAGTTTCCAGGAGAGAAACTATGCAAAATATGACAATATTCACTGAATATTCAATTTTTTCTAATTTATGCAAATTTGAACTTGTTACCATGGCAACAATAATTAGAAATACAAATAAATATTTTCATGATGGTATTTGGGGAGTATTCAAAATTAAAGAAACAGTCGTTTGACAGTTTATTTAAAGATTTTGAATTTTGATGCATTTGGGGGCCAAAACACATCCAAACCATACATAGTCCTTTACCACCTCATACAGATAATAACAAACTCAGTATCTAAAATCTCAAATTTAGATGACTTAATGGCCCCTATATTTGCATTTGTTAACATAAATAACCTACAACAAATATTTGAGATTTGCTTTGTGTCTTGAGAACATTGTAAATAAAAATGCGAATTCTACATAAAATACTATGTCACTTTCTTATACTTCCACCTAAAATATTTGAACCTAACCATATATTGAAAGAAATATGGCCAAAGGGAGACAATTTGTGCAATATTGTTTGTAACAGGAAACCAAATCATCTAACCGTATTCCTGACTTTGAGATTTACATTTAACTTTGTTTTATTACCGTATGTCAACATTGTCAAGAAAAACGACGTAATTCGAATATCTTAAATGATAAATTACAAATGCATTTTTTTATCATATTACATTTAAATGTTTTGATACATTTTGTTACAAGAATGTTGCGTAATGTTTGGAACTTTGCACATTATTCAAAAAACAAAAAATCTATGAAATTCTATATTTTTACAATAACGTTAAGGCAGTGGACATTGGTATGTTTTCTCTTCCACACACCAATAAGTCATGTGTATACCGTAATATGCTCCGTTACCCTATGAAAGCTCAAGTGTCACCACTTGGAAAAACAATTGTGAAAAAAACTTGTTCAAACAATTTCAAGCCATCGGTGCTGATTTTTTTGTAGATGTTTTTGTAGATTTCCGTCGATTTCTGACACAGGCGTAAACATGTGACTGACAAACTGTGGTCAATATCAAAATATACATGTCCTCAGTTTGTGTCGAGTTGATGATTGATATAAGCTATAACTAGATACAACAAGGATAAACAATCACCAAGCTCTATTACATTCTGTCTGATTGACTACGGTAAAACCTCATTACACTGCCACGATTAATCCAGAAAACCTATGGCGTTTTAAAGGGGTTCGGCAATAGATTGAGGGGAAAATTAAAAGGAGGTCTTAAAAAAAAGGGACATTGATATATTTTGGCATTAAACGAGATGGCAAATGAAACAAGGGACATTCTATTTAGATTTTACTGTAGTACAATACAATGATTTTGTGACATTATTTTGATTTTGTTGTTTTGTAGGTACCACACTGGGTCTCTTGCATTTGGGTCCCTCATACTGGCAATTATCCAGTTCATAAGGATTGTGCTGGAATATCTTGACTACAAACTCAAAGATAGTGAAAATGTGGTGGCTAGATTTTTTGTCAAGTAAGTGTCAAGATAATACTGTTTGTCGTATATAGTGTTGTAAAGTAAGGCGACACCATTGGAGAAAGACTTTTCATTTCAGTAATACCTACCTAACTTTAGTATGCATATTAAAACGTTAAGGATTTAGAATAAGTTCTGCCTTCCATTCCTGAATGACATCTAAATCCAAACAAGCAACATCTTGTTTGACATTGCTTTCTCTTCCTTTGCTGGCTGACTGTTTTTGTGTTTGAGCTCCATGATACTTATATTAACAGGATGTGTTTGTTAATGACTGATACTGTCTAGCAACTCGTTCACACTTCTTTGGGGAGTGTGACCTGCATCATGCTTGTCTTGAAAATTTCCCTTGATCTGAGGAGTGTCTTAGGATCTTGCCTCCAAATGTTAAGGTGTTTAAACTCCCTAAGGACTCTAGTTTAGGCTTTTTGTAAGAAGGATTCTCTAGTTTGTTCAGAAAACGGAGCAAACACAAGTGTACAGGTGGTGGTGTCAGCTTTTAGGAATGGGCTCTGGTACAGTCTTGAGATGAGAGGTGTGTTATGGTGGTGGGGGAGGGGGGCTCTTTTCCGCAGGTTCTTCAGGTAGAGAGGAGTGGGAAACCCTCCTATCTAGAAACTTCCTTGAGTATAAAAAAAATAGCCAGAAATGTAAATGGCACATCCTTGTTTTTGTTGGTGGTGAACTGTCATAAGTATTTGGGCTTTGCCTCCAGACAAGGACTACTGCCTGTCGGTTGTTCATCCGGAAACTCAGGTGTTGGTGTTGAGGATGACATTGGTACCGAGGCTGTTCTATCTGGTTTAGGTCCCAGTTTTTATTCGCACAGTTTCTTCAGCTTGCCTGTTTGGCCAGGTTTGACGATGCATAGCCTGCAAATTCTGGTACCAATATCGGCACAGCGTACCCTCCCGGTCAATTTGCTGCCCCAGTCCTGATGGATCCAGCCAGAGGTTTGCATCGTAAAGGAAATTGGTGGTTAATTTCTCGAGGTTTGCAAGTCAGGTGGTTCTGGACCTGGGCAGTCTCCAGGTTTCTGATTTAACGAAACCCTGGGTTCAAGCAGGTCATTTTGGCCAATTCTTGGGTCTTTCTCCTCCATGTTAAACCGTGGGATTCGTCTTTTGAGAATCTTTGTGGTTTGGCGTCACCTTCACAAAGACGGTGTGGTGAATGCCCCCATCCCCCCATCCCCCCNGAGGTGGGCTTTGGCCGCGTAGCTTAAGCCTATTGCAAAGACATTAAGTAGTCTTCTTTCTATGACTCACCTGTTGGAGCTCCCTCCAGAGAATTTTCCTTAACTGTCTCCGTTTGCAAACCCCTTTCCGCCACTGACGCTCGTGACTGATTGTCATGATGCAATGAAGGAGAGAGACTGTGAGGACGTGAGACAGGCAGGGGATGACATTGTTCATCTTGTCCTTGGGTGCTCCGATATTGGCACTGGTATTGCAAAGTCGTCTTCTGATATTCCCAGGAAGCTTTTGCCTCCAATAAGAATGTTCAGAGAAGGGTTGACCCAAGCCTGTATGGGGTGGAGGCCTAACGACTGTTTTCCGGGATGCGCTTCCTGAAGGTTGGCGTTACCCGGATTCTCGAGGAGAACTGCCAACCACCTTATGCATTGTTTGTTCCTGAATCCACCACGCTTTTGGTATGTAGTGACGCCTCGGTCCTACACTAAGATGAGCATTTAGAGGTGATTTGTTAAGTTACCGACAGGTTGTCGTGTATCTTGAGAGGTCAGGCATTACATCTTACCATCTGTATCATCTGGTCGATACCGTTGCTTAGCCAGGCTCTTTTCGCAGGGCATGTCATCCTACATTGCTAGATTGATCATGTCGTCCTCATCTGCCATCTTGCAATTCCGATGGAAGATTTTATTTAATTTGTGTATTGGCAGTAAGATTGATCTGGTCAAAACATCTATACCATGGATGGCCAACTTCTTTTTGTAGTTTGTCTGTGATGGTTTCCGTTTCTGTCGGTACTGTTGCAGTCCTTGACCTTCATTCTTATGGTCTTTACATTTTTAGTCAGTACGTTCTGGCACTGTAGTTGGCTTTGCTGCTGAAGAAATGTGTATTCTGCGACCATTTTCAATTTGTATTCTATCAGGTATCTAGGTGGTTCACCTTTATTGTAATTTGTGTCATGGGGAGCTTTCTAGCACGTCAAACATATTTGGGGTATTTCTAGCACTTACGAACAAATTCAGGGTATTCGTCGGGGTTCCTGAAGCACTTTCTGCCAGGAGTTCTTCTCAATTAAGTCTGCCATTTCAGCCCTATTTTCTAGCTGAATTAAATAATCTGAACTGCGACAAGAAGAAATCACGTACTGATGTTGTGATAATTGTTATTCCTGAATGAAATATTGTCACCAGTCTGATATAAATGCATCAGATTGTCACCTATGAAACGACTACCAGAAATATTTGTCATCTTTAATTCATAAACAAAGGAGTTTATTTCAAAAACCATCCTGGAATACTATCACTTAAATGATGTGATTTCAACAGACAGCACTCCACTAACACGTTCAGTATTAATTAAATACACTGTATTATTATCAAGGTCTTGCTTCCAGATATTATCACGAATAAAAAAAAAAGACTGATTTTGTATAGATATTAAATCTCATGGTGATAGTTAAAAGAAAATGCAAAGTCATTTGTTTTTCATTGATACGCTAACACTGGTAAACAGTTTGTGGGATTGGCACGGTAAACACTCCCTGCTATGCAGATCATGGGTATAAAAACAAAACAAAATGGATGTAAAGCCTTTGTTTATCCAAATATTGTTCCGACCTTCTACAAATGTGTCCATTGTCAATGGTCAGTGACTTAATTTAGAACACAAAACATGCTGAATTGTCAAATCATCCTAAAAAATAATCGAAGGTTACACAGTTAATTTAACATCTTGCACTTCTGAAATATGTCATGACAAAATTAAAGGCTCTGTATGTGATATGTCGCAGCTGACACAAGTAGACTAGTTTGATTGTATGATGTACATCAAAAATCGCGCGGCAATATAACAGTAAAATTGACCGGCTTTTAAGTCATGTGTGGCTTCTCAGTAATCTTCAAAGGACAGGTATCAGCCTAGCGATTGGTCTTTTTTTTTTTTCTATTGCTGAAACCAATCGAATACAATGAAGGTACATGTAACAGCGCGCTTTCGATTCTGTTATGGCATTTTCCATGGGTGCAGAGAACGTATGCGAGCATAACCCATGTAATTCTGAGGATGGCGGAACAGTTGCTCCCACATTTCCTGGTACTGATACCACCGATCCATCCCACTTGAACTTCTGCTTCATCACATAATGTAGCCAGTGTTTAAACATTGACTTACCATCAGTATTCTTGTTCATTATAGTGGTATAAAACATAGTGACAGGACATACTCATTGGTCAGGACAGGCGGTAAATTTTATCTCATCCTTTGAATCTAGTTAATTGTCATTCAAGTGTCTTTGTGACCTGAATTCGCTGTTTTGAAAAGGTCCTAATGAATCTGAATTTGCCAGGAAATCTCATTATTTACAAAGCTGTAAATAAAAAAGTATTTTTTCTTAAGATCTGTTAATAAGAGCAGCAATTGCTGATGAACATGGTTTCAGTTGGTGTGGTATTATGTACAGGATTTTGAAAGTTTTGTGCAGATTGACTGTGATCACAGACAGCATGGAAATTAACAGTGAACTGCATTCTTCCTTTACTTCACAGTAGCATGTCCTTTCTATCACCATCTTGCCCTTAATGTCTTGTGCCCTACCCTTTCTTCCGAAACTATAGAGATTATTGAACGTCCGTGTGTAGCATCCCTAGTTAGCACTGCCACCCACATATGTCCCTAACCTTAGTAATGTCGATGTATTTGGGCACGTGTTATATTACACCTACATGTAGGTTATATTACAAAATTAACGAGAGATATATTGATATATAATGGCCAACTTCTTTTTGTAGTTTGTCTGTGATGGTTTCCGTTTCTACCGGTACTGTTGCAGTCCCTGACCTTCATTCTTATGGTCTTTACATTTTTAGTCAGTACGTTCTGGCACTGTAGTTGGCTTTGCTGCTGAAGAAATGTGTATTCTGCGACCATTTTCAATTTGTATTCTATCAGTTATCTAGGTGGTTCACCTTTATTGTCATTTGTGTCATGGGGAGCTTTCTAGCACGTCAAACATATTTGGGGTATTTCTAGCACTTACGAACAAATTCAGGGTATTCGTCGGGGTTCCTGAAGCACTTTCTGCCAGGAGTTCTTCTCAATTAAGTCTGCCATTTCAGCCCTATTTTCTAGCTGAATTAAATAATCTGAACTGCGACAAGAAGAAATCACGTACTGATGTTGTGATAATTGTTATTCCTGAATCAAATATTGTCACCAGTCTGATATAAATGTATCAGATTGTCACCTATGAAACGACTACCAGAAATATTTGTCATCTTTAATTCATCAACAAAGGAGTTTATTTCAAAAACCATCCTGGAATTCTATCACTTAAATGATGTGATTTCAACAGACAGCACTCCACTAACACGTTCAGTATTAATTAAACAAAGGAGTTTATTTCAAAAACCATCCTGGAATTCTATCACTTAAATGATGTGATTTCAACAGACAGCACTCCACTAACACGTTCAGTATTAGTTTGTTGGATTGGCACGGTAAACACTCCCTGCCATGCAGATCATGGGTATAAAAACAAAACAAAATGGATGTAAAGCCTTTGTTTATCCAAATATTGTTCCGACCTTCTACAAATGTGTACATTGTCAATGGTCAGTGACTTAATTTAGAACACAAAACATGCTGAATTGTCAAATCATCCTAAAAAATAATCGAAGGTTACAAAGTTAATTTAACATCTTGCACTTCTGAAATATGTCATGACAAAATTAAAGGCTCTGTATGTGATATGGCGCAGCTGACACAAGTAGACTAGTTTGATTGTATGATGTACATCAAAAATCGCGCGGCAATATAACAGTAAAATTGACCGGCTTTTAAGTCATGTGTGGCTTCTCAGTAATCTTCAAAGGACAGGTATCAGCCTAGCGATTGGTCTTTTTTATATTTCTATTGCTGAAACCAATCGACTACAATGAAGGTACATGTAACAGCGCGCTTTCGATTCTGTTATGGCATTTTCCATGGGTGCAGAGAACGTATGCGAGCATAACCCATGTAATTCTGAGGATGGCGGAACAGTTGCTCCCACATTTCCTGGTACTGATACCACCGATCCATCCCACTTGAACTTCTGCTTCATCACATAATGTAGCCAGTGTTTAAACATTGACTTACCATCAGTATTCTTGTTCATTATAGTGGTATAAAACATAGTGACAGGACATACTCATTGGTCAGGACAGGAGGTACATTTTATCTCGTCCTTTGAATCTAGTTAATTGTCATTCAAGTGTCTTTGTGACCTGAATTCGCTGTTTTGAAAAGGTCTTAATGAATCTGAATTTGCCAGGAAATCTCATTATTTACAAAGCTGTAAATAATAAAGTATTTTTTCTTAAGATCTGTTATTAAGAGTAGCAATTGCTGATGAACAGGGTTTCAGTTGGTGTGGTATTGTGTACAGGATTTTGAAAGTTTTTTGCAGATTGACTGTGATCACAGACAGCATGGAAATTAACAGTGAACTGCATCCTTCCTTTACTTCACAGTAGCATGTCTTTCTATCAACATCTTGCGCTTAATGTCTTGTGCCTTACCCTTTCTTCCGAAACTAAAGAGATTATTGAACGTCCGTGTATAGCATCTCTAGTTAGCACTGCCACCCACATGCATGTATGTCACTAACCTTTAGAATCATACCTTGAAATTATTGATAGGTACCATGGCCATATTCTGCAGTTGATTATTATTGAATGTATAATGAATAAATAGTAATATGTGAGAGTAGTAATTTGATATATTGATATATAATTAACGCCCCTAGTTAACACTGCCACCCACATATGTCCCTAACCTTAGTAATGTCGAGGTACTTGAGCACGAGTTATATTACACCTACATGTAATTTCAACAGACAGCACTCCACTAACACGTTCAGTATTAGTTTGTGGGATTGGCACGGTAAACACTCCCTGCCATGCAGATCATGGGTATAAAAACAAAACAAAATGGATGTAAAGCCTTTGTTTATCCAAATATTCTGTTATTAAGAGCAGCAATTGCTGATGAACATGGTTTCAGTTGGGGTGGTATTATGTACAGGATTTTGAAAGTTTTGTGCAGATTGACTGTGATCACAGACAGCATGGAAATTAACAGGGAACTGCATTCTGCCTTTACTTCACAGTAGCATGTCCTTTCTATCAACATCTTGCCCTTAATGTCTTGTGCCTTACCCTTTCTTCCGAAACTATAGAGATTATTGAACGTCCGTGTATAGCATCCCTAGTTAGCACTGCCACCCACATACATGTATGTCACTAACCTTAGTAATGTTGATCTACTTCAGCACGTGTTATAGTACACCTACATGTAGGTAATATTACAAAATTAACGAGAGATATATTGCTGTTGGTAAAGGTGACTTATTTTCATTGAAATTTAATACAGATTCGAAAAAAATGGGAATGACTACACGATATTACTTAAACCCTGCCTTTGCCAAAATATGTACACATATCTATATGATATACTTACATAAACGAGTATTTCTAAATACATATGTCAAACTCCTTGAACATTCCGACACATAAATTGATACAGCGTCTCTCTTTTTTTCTTTTTTTTTCTCTATAGTCTTACTTTCCCTTCCATACCTCTAACCTGCTCTAACCTCTGTTCTGTCACATATTCTTATATATTGGACATACTTTAGCTGTAGTTAAATTTGGCGCTAATACAAAATGTTTTCAAAGTCTAAAACACCAGCCCTTATAATATATGTAACATAATTACTTAGAATCATACCTTGAAATTATTGATAGGTACCATGGCCATATTCTGCAGTTGATTATTATTGAATGTATAATGAATAAATAGTAATATGTGAGAGTAGTAATTTGATATATTGATATATAATTAACGCCCCTAGTTAGCACTGCCACCCACATATGTCACTAACCTTAGTAATGTCGATGTACTTGAGCACGTGTTATATTACACCTACATGTAGGTTATATTACAAAATTAACGAGAGATATATTGATATATAATTAACGCCCCTAGTTAGCACTGCCACCCCCTTATCTCACTAATATAACCTTAGTAATGTCGATGTACTTGAGCATGTGTTATAGTACACCTACATGTAGGTTACATTAAAAAATTAACGAGAGATATATTGATATATAATTAACGCCCCTAGTTAGCACTGCCACCCACATATGTCACTAACCTTAGTTATGTCGTATCTAACATCTCTGAGGAAATCTCCATATGTAACATCATCAATGTAACCAATAAACTTACGTATCTAACATCTCTGAGGAAATCTACATATGTACCATCCCCAATGTAACCCATATACTTATGTATTTAACCTCTCTGAGGAAACTACATATGTAACATCACCAATGTAACCCATATACTTACGTATCTAACATCTCTGAGGAATTCTACCTATGTAACAACAACAATGTAACCCATATACTTACGTATCTAACATCACTGAGGAATTCTACCTATGTAACAACAACAATGTAACCAATATACTTTCGTATCTAATATTTCTGAGGAAATCTTCATATGTAACATCACCTAATCGGATGAAGCCTTTTATCTTACGTATCTAACATATCTGAGGAAATCTACATATGTACTGTAACATCATCTAATCGGATGACGCCTTTTAACTTACGTATCTAACATCTCCGAAGAAATCTTCATATGAAAGATTACCGATACTTCCCGTTAACTTACGTATCTAGCATCATTGATAACTTAGGTAATTCGTATCACTGGTTTAAACCGTGGAATTACATAAGTAGTATCACTGATGTAACCTTCATGTGTAACTGTACTGACACAACCTGTTAAGTTACAATCTAATGTATCTGATGTAACAAGTGAATTTACATAACTCACATCACTGATTTAATTACTCAACGAACATAAGTGGTATCATTAATGTAACCAGTAAACTTACGTTAACCTACAACTATTTACCTCACAGACGTAACCAGTTGACTAACATAATTAACATCACTGATGTAATAGGTTTACTTACTTAGGACATTACTGATTTTATCAGGTAACAAACATCTGAAATTACTGATGAAATGATGTATTGAAGATGTTAAATATGTTGATAAAAACGAGTGATTCTTTGTCATTGTTGCCAGAAACATTCATGTTATCATTTTTACTTGTAGATGTTTGAAGTGCTGCTTCTGGTGTCTCGAAAAGTGTGTTAAATTCCTGAACAGAAACGCTTACATAATAGTAAGTATTAGAAGTATACATATAAACCAATTTTGTTTTTTCTTTTTAAAAAGGATGGGACTTGAACCTAAGTTGAGCATTTACCCAGAGAGGTCAATAATTAACATTGTATAAGTTATTAAGTCTGTATAAAATAATAATAAAATAACTGATGATTTCGCCCCAAGTCTTTATTTATGGAACTTTTGTGTGTTATTTACTCAACACAGTCTAGAAGTGACATACATATCTGTAAGTTTTTGATTTTGTAACTTATTGTCATTAACCAATAGAACATCAAAATACACAAAAAATGCTTCGCAGGTATTGATGAAAAATTAGCAGTTTCCTTTCTAAAATTAAGTTAATGTTGACTGGCCTCTGAAAAATATATATATTAAGTAAGTGTGCACCGAAGTTAAATTATAGTTAAGTACCTAGGGAAGATCAGTGGCTATGTCTATTTGGTTAAGTTTAGTTTGAGAATTACAATATAACTAAATATTTTAGGAACTCCTTAATGTTTTTAATGAATATGGATTACGCTGGTTATTGAGGCTTAACAACTGTGTAACACTAATGAAAGAACATAGAAAAACATACTACCCAATTGTTTCTTATTTTAAATTTTAACTACTGCAGTTTTTTGGCAAACTCTGTTTGTTTGTTGTTTTTTTTTTTTATGTCGACAAAAGCTTATTATCCACACTCTTAGGAAAAGAACAAACTGGGACCAATTGGGGTTTGTTTTGGAAAAACAACTTGTTTCATGCCTTATGTTAAGAACAAAGACGAAAGTTTATTTTCCCCCAATAAGAACATATATAAATTCGTTGGTGTTAATTGAGCAACGTCTGTATTTTCAACTTTTTTTTTCAAGCAGGCGTTTCCTGTACACAACCCGCGAGTGACAAATACAATGGTATCCAATTGAGTGTCAATATCCGATAGAATACTTCGGTACAGAAATAGTACTCGCTGGGCATGAAATTAGCAAGTTTACTTATGTTAGAACAACCGGGGTCCATATTATTAAAAAACCTGTTATATTTTTTACCTAAGAACGTACTGAAGCTTCATTAAAGGACCACTGTCCTATTGCAATGTGACTTTTCGTATATACAGTAACCCTGCTATTGATTTCGTTTTAGATATAGCAGTAGCACAGTTGTGCCAGGACATTTCCGTTGACTTGGTTGCTAAGTTGGTTGGAACGATAGTATAATAGTCTAGGGTTCGAGTCCCGATCTAGCCACAATAAATTTTATTTTCAGAACACTGTTTCTATTTGTATTTTGCTCGGTTCTTCTTATCATTTATTCTTTGGTAAAAAAATAATTGTTTCAAACATATAGTCATGCTGAAAAAAAAGCGTTTTTAATGCCTATTTAAATTGATGACATGATGGAGTAACAGGAAATCGTCGTAGTTCATTGATATACAATTACTTCAGTCGTAATGCTGGATATAGATTATGTATAAAAGGAGTTTTAAATATATTACAGGTTCAAAGAACCTCGAACAGCTACATAACAGTTAAAAGTAACGTTGATTAACACCAGGCCATCCCGTTTCAGTGCTGTGCCACGGCCACATACATAAAATGTTTGAAATAATGAGTTTATCTGGTAATTGGCGCCATTATAGGTCAGCATGTACTAGCTGCCATCAGAATATTTGACTGATAAATAGAAAAATATCTTTTTTACCATGCTTTCGAACATGAACAGCGAATTTCATCCTAATTTTTAATTAAAAGCCCATAAGGGTCCGCATCGCTCCTGGCATGTACAGTTGTTTATATTCCGGATTAAGTATTTTCAAATGTTTTAATTATTTCAATTCACTGAAGATATACTATTTTAATACTTTCGTTTCCGTGAGCATTTTTTGCTCTCAAGTAGTTTTGATCGTGACAGGTTTTCTGCACATGCCTGTTTTCAGACTCATATGCATGTCAATAGGACTTGCTGATGATTGAAAGCAAATGTTGTTACGTGTTGACTTCAGAAATAACATATAAATGCCATGCATACACTTTGAGAGAAATCTGTATGTGTTTAGTATTAAACCACATTTTTGGAAATCCAACCATACGACAGAGTAGGGTTATGAATAGTGTATGGTTGGTTCCATTATATTTTTGGTTATTTGGTATAAAAGTTTACTGTTACAAGTTGCTAATATATATATATATATGTCTGTTTAGGTTGCAGTTTATGGAAAGAACTTCTGTTCGGCAGCGAAAGATGCTTTCTTTCTTATACTACGAAATGTTGTAAGGTAGGAATACACATTGTTAATGGGTTTTTTACGATATTCGGTGCTTAATATGCCGACATGTATCATTACAAGCTAAAGCATATTTTAACAGGACGATTAGTACTTCTACAATTTATCACGCTTAACTATTTGATTGTCTTATTTGTCTCCGAACCATTACTTCATACATGTATGACTAACGTTGGAGTTAGTGTGTCGTGTCAAGTTTATTTCTGCAGTATATACTACCTAGGTTTCGTTAAAAGCAAAGGGTATGGTGGGAATTGTTTAAATTGTAATTCTTGTCCAGACTGAACCTTTTAGAAGTATGATTATATTATTTATGTCACAGAAGTGTGAATTATAAACAGATTGGTGAATGTAAGATTCAAATCCTCAAAATGGTGAAACAATTCTTGTCTTGGCTATTTTTCTTCTTCATGAAAATGATCCCCTCTTTGACAATTGGATTTCTCAAGAGTTTTCTGTTAGATATTCATGATATCCTCGTTGATACTTTCATTCTCATGTCATCCCTGGTGGACTTTTTTTCTAAATATTTTTGTTCTTGTTTTAAGGTGTGAAACACATTTCTTTATTGTTCCTTTTCATAGTATATAATATTAATATATGTTGTGATGTATCAAAATAATACTAATAATGTTGTCGCTTAAAATAATGATTATATTATTGCATTTCCCAGACTAGATCGTATCTTTTGAATATATATATATTTCTATGAAAAGTAGTAGGTATATGTAATAGAAATAGAAATCTGGTAAGTTGTATACCATTTTTAAGTATGTACTGCTAATAGCTCGGCCAAGCTTAAACATGGGACAGTTAGTTAAAGAAATGACAATCTTATAAGTAACAGGACGTTAGCTTCCGGGTGGCTTCATATATTTTGATGACAACAATCGCTGATAGATTATAATCGCAATATTCTTAAAATCATAGTCCAGAAAAGTGGGATTCCAATGAAATTTTGCATAATTATTGGTGCGCGTACCTGGATATGCAAGAAACTTTTTTATGAAGCTGCACATTCAAGATGACCGGTGTGACATCTGATTAGTCAATGGTTAGATATTGACCGGTTTCGATCCAATTTGGTGTGTAGTTATATTACGCTGTTACTAACAGTACACGTGACTTCCATTACCATCACTAATAACTGTTATTCATTGGAACTATTGTTTTGGCCTATGTTGTATGTGTGACATTGGAAATAACGATTTATGCTAAATTTGAAGTTTGAAAATGTATTACATTGACTAGGTTTGTTGTGGTAGGAGACACGCATTGTATCATGACTAGACAATATTTTGTTGTAGTTTGGACAAGTATTTCAAATATTAGGTTTGTCCGGGCAGAGGACATGTATTGGAACATGACTTAATAATGATTCGTGATGGCGCAGTGAGTAGCGCACTTGCCTTTCATCAAGGCGACCAGTGTTTGATTCCTCGATCGCACGTCGAGATGTTCGGGGTGCATTTTCAAGAGTGATTAATATAAGTTGAAACAACTTTCAGCTTATCACACTTATCTATTGGTTTCTCAGTGTGAGGTGTTTTTTCGATCCATATTTTCTTTTATATTTAGATATCATTGCGTCAGACAGTGTGTCCTGTGCAGATGTTTTTTCTGTAAATACGGCTTAGGGGACCATCAAAGCGAAGAATCAAATGTCAACTTATTAAAATGTTATTCATGTACAAACAAGACCTTCTATGTTGATGATTTTATCATAACTCTGAAAGAGATTCGGGGATGTCGATTTGAAACCTTTAATTGGAAATCTAATTCGTATCTTGTCAGTGTTTTTTTGAATTTATGATTTTTCTATGAAACCTATCCTGCTTCAGCATCTGATTTTCCAGACTTTTTATCGCAGACTCATCATGTCCTTCCAGGTTTTGAAGTGTCTTATCAATTGCTGCTTTTATCTATTAAAATTAAATTTGAGTCGGGATTCTGTACATATTTTAAAAAGTGATATATTTGCTATTAATTTTATTTGATATCAATAAAATATGTCCAGGTGTTTCGAGTACAAATAATGATGATGATAAAATTACCAGACTGCATCTAACTTTTGATTCTGATTTCTATCATGAAACTTTATAATTACACATTATAAAACTAGAAAGCTAGTCAGTTGTGAAGAAAAGTATTAATATTTCCTAGTTAGTTTCTGGAACACCAATGTTTAAACAATAATGAAACAGAAATGCTTTTAGATTTCGTTTTACGTATTTCCCGGCGCGTGAGTCTATTTATAGAGCTGATTTAGTTAAGTCAGTTTCACTCGGCATTTGTCGAGAAAGTTTCCCTGTGTACAGTAGCAGTATAGCTTAGCACATATTTTAACAATTATAAAGTTTCAAGAAACACAAAATGCAATAATGTTTACTGATGTGTCAGTTAAAAACAAATTTGTTTAAAATGCCTCCACTCATAGTGTTTATGCTAAAATTTCTGTTTCTTTTCTCTCCTAGGGCCGTTGTGCTGGATAAGCTTACCGACTATGTGCTGTTTCTGAGCAAGCTAGCTGTAACCGCAGCAGTTGGTAGGTAGCAAATGAAATATATTGTCACAGGATAGAACAGCAATATATGCAAGACATTGTTTTTTTTACACATTTGTTCTGTAGTTAAAATAATCAATGATTCTTGTGCAAAGTACAATGCAATCTGGCTCCATTGTGATTATCTTGTATACGAATATAACTGAATTTGGCAGTACGAAGTTTAGTTTGTAACTTAGTGTAATAAAAATAGCACTATTCAGTTTAGTTTCAACACCAGTGATATATTGCTTTTAGTGCTTTTCTTTATGATTGCTTTGTACATGGGTATGATAAATTTTGCGCTATTTTGCTAAGTTTTACAATTATGCAACGAACCCTAGAGTATTTACGATAAGTTTTTACGGTAGGATTGTGGTAAATTTGTACAGATGGATAAAATACAACGTAGAGCTATTGCAATTTGTTTGTTCACGAGTGTAATGAAAATATATCGCTATTGTGATTATTTTGTTAAGTAGTGTATAAAAAATCCTAGCAGTGTTGTTATTTGTTTGTACAGTAGTGCATAGTGCATTGAAATTGGTGCTATTGTAAAATTTCGTAAAAACGTATAATAAAACTTCTAGCAGTCTTGATGTTTGTTCGTTAACGAGTGTAATAAACCTAGCGCACTACCGTCATTAGTTTGTATAGTACTGCAATACAACTGAGCTTGATAAGCCTGGATGTCATAGAGTCAGCTGAGTTATCGATTTTGATCAGTGAATCATTCATGCCATGAAACGTCAAGATTGCAATTTCATATATTTGTGGATGCCTCGAAAACGTAAAAAAAGAAATGCGCCATATCTACTGAAATTGAATGTATTGGATAAAATGGACATAATGAACTTTTGCTGTCATAACTAGTAAATATATGACATTTTTGTATATCTCCAATGCAGTGATCATAAAAATATCACTTTTGTCATACCCGACAATCTGACCTATTTAACTAGACAAGTTAATGTGATTAACCTTTCTTTCTGTTTACAGGGGTTGGAGCATACTATTGGTTTCAAGGAAAGATTGCATTCTTTTCCGACTATGTGCCTACGCTCAACTTTTACATCACACCAATTGTGGTATGTACATTATCCCTTACACCTAAATAATAACATAAGCTGTCGTAAACCTAGCTGATGCACATAGGTTATTAAAACGTACTTTATAACACTTTGTGATAATATGTTCCATTTCGTAACAACCACCAACCTGTTAATTTCCATATACATGTTCAATATATTTCTATGCTTGTTCAATAAAACAAGAAAAATTGAAAAAATGTGGATTAAAACCGATCGATTTTAACTTGCTTCATTCGAGGTACTTAATTCCCGTTATTCAACGAGTTGATTAAAAAAATAGGTGTAACATTTCTTATGTTTGAAACGTTGAAGTAAAGTCATTGCTATTAAGTTGTAACATCTTAGACATAGATTCAATACATACTCCTTCATTGTAAATATGAAAGAGGAATCTATATATTCAAAGGAATGGCTTAGGGACCTGCAGGGTTGTCATTCTCTGCGATGGAAATTCGTTTAGTTAAATGAGTTTTTTCCCTTGCCACATCAGCAGGAATCTCACTTAATGCAACTTGCTTCTCCCTTCATTTCACGCATAGCGACTCTGAATGGGACCACAAATGCAAATATTTAACCCTGATGTGATCACCAAGCAGTGGAAGGTTTTATAAAGAAAATGATAAATTAAATACCACATTTATAAACTTAACATCAACATATTACAACATTAGAAAAAAAATGTTTTCAAGTATCTCAAAATAAATCTTTCCTGTGTTCATGTGTTGCCATGTTTTTATCGGTTTTGAATTCGAATTTCAGTTTTGTTTAGACTGCGTTTTCTCTTTTTTCAGATTGTGATTATTGGCACGTTCCTGATCACGTGTGGGTTCTTCAGTGTCTACACGATGGCAGTTGACACGTTATTTCTATGCTTTTGTAAGTAAACGATTACAAATAGCTTTGTTATTGATGCTTAATCAAATTTAAGACGCGCCTTATAATTGTCGCTTGTTGACACAAAAAATTAACATCGTTTGAGTTAAGTGGTAGAAGTAAATTGGTAAAGAGAAAAGTTTCAACGTATACATCAATCACATGGACTATATCAGTAATACGTGAACGTATGTTTAACAATTTTGGTAAAGGCGTCTTGTAATAAAAATCTTTGCTAATCATTCAGGTTTGACGTGCGAGACTTTAGTTATTTGACTTAATACAAAACCTTATGTAACTGTTACCTTACTTGGATATAATAACTTGACGTAAATGAGGATGGTTTTGTGTAGTTAGGGTGTTGATATTTTTAGTTTTATTAAATTCATTAATACATTTTAAATTTGGGTTAATATCTACGTGTTCATTAACATCTGATCTGTGACCGTTGATGACCTATACATATATTTCTGGTATAACTTAAGCAAATTTACAATAAGGAAACATTGAAATTTTATTGATATATATATATTTGATAATTTGACCTGTAACCTTTGGTAACTTTTACATTGGCATTTGGTATACATTTGCACAATGATATAAGGAACCTATCAAATGTATACAATTGTTTTATTATATTATTGATGGGCAAGATGACCTGCTTATAAGAGTTTAATTATATTTTGCGCATAAACGGACGCATTTCACTAGTTTTCCACAAGTATCTTTTAATGTGTAAACTAAGTATATAACTTTGTTATTGTAGTGGAAGACCTAGAAATGCATGATGGCTCTGCAGAAAAACCATACTTTATGAGCAAAGGGCTGATGAAGATAATTGGCAAAAAGAACAAGTTTGAGGACCCGGATGATGACGGCAAAGACAAAAAATCCAAGGGCAAATAGAAAAAAGAAAATGATGATTTCTAATGATGATTTCTAATTTTTCAAGTTCTGAAATAATTATTTCACTTAGTGATATATTTGATTTTGGAATATATATATGACAGGGATATGTACAGAATCAGGTATTCAAAAACAGAAAAAACAGAGTTCACAGTAATAGCATATATTAAACAGTTGCCTGACCAGCATACTGAGATTGTAAAGTGAGACTATAAGAAAAAAACCATACCTCCCATTAGCTTATCTGACACGCAACGTCTATATTCAATGCCTTTTACTTTCAATTTCAAACTTCGCATTTGAAAAATAAAATAGAAGCATTTTTTTAAATAAATGCTTTTTTAAAATATAGATAATCTGACAATGCTCTCATACTTTAAAGTATGATCGCTGCTTCCACCAATAAAACCGAAAGTATGATTTTGTAAATCAAAACTAACCATAGATCACGTAATGGCAAAACAGCTTTGTGATCATAGGAAAATCTAAGAGAAATCTTATTTAGATTGTAAGATCAACACTATCTACCATGATAGCTTTAAAGTATTTTGAAGTTGAAAAAAAACTAGTGATAATTTATTAACCTCTAGATAGAGATTTAGATGGGTAATATATTTTTTATGTTTTTTTATTTTATGAATTGTAATGTTGGGATATTTTTAAGTGAAGGGATATTTGTGTGACTAGTAAAGACCTCTTACTTGAAACCAGATATATTGTCATATCTCTTCTCTCAAAACAGAGATATTGTCATGTCTGTACCATTTAAATAGAGATATTATCATGTCAATACTTCCAAAGCAGAGATACTTTCTTGTCAATATCCTTAAAACAGAGATATCACAATGTCAGTACTCTCGAAACAAATATACGGAGATATGGTCATTTCAGTACTCTCGAAACAGAGATATGGTCGTGTCAATACTCTCGAAGCAGATATATGGTCATGTCAATACTTTATAACAGAGTTATTGTCATGCCATTACTCTCGAATTTTCGAGATATTGTCATGGCAGTTATCTCGAAACAGAGATATTGTTATGTCAATACTCTTTAAACATATTTATCATCATGTCAGTACTCTCGAAACAGATATACCCTCGGGACAGATATCTCAAAACATATATATCGTCATTGTCAATAATCTTCAAACAGAGGTATCGTCATGTCAATATCAAGGGAGATAATGTGTTAACAGATGTAATGTTATCATAATTTTATTTCAAACGTTCGACATGCTGTAATTGTTAGTAAGTTTGAAATACTTTTTGTAGAAAAAAAGTACCTGTGATGCGATATGTATGTAAATCAGTTTATTACATTCTCTACCCAATTGGTTATCATACTATCCCATAAACTTTCAATAAGTATCATGCTATACGAACCGTTTTGGAAACAAAGAAAAATGTTACGCTTTAAAGATTTCGCAGCAAAAGCGAAACTATTTGTTTTTTTCTTTGCTTACCCCGTCTTTATATTCAGAAAATGTGTTATTGGACACAAATTGAGCATATGATGGAAAGAAAAAGAATTTTGTTCATCTCCCATCTTGTATGCTAAGGACGTATTGGTGTATGTTCGTACAGTTTGAATTTAGCTGTAAGTCTCCTTGAAATGTTTGACATTTATTATATATTGATGCAGAAATATGGTCTGTGACCAATTTCAGAATGACATGTATATTACACAGCTTCTCTTACTGTACTCGGTGATGGCAACCAAAATGTGACTTGATGCTCAGTGTGAACATAAAAGGACAACACACTTAAAATCCATCCCAATATTTGGCAGAATATACTTTAGTGTCGACAGAGACAATGTGATAATAGTAATAAAGTACATGTGATTGTGATATTTTGATTATAATATATTAATAACCTCTGTGATATAGGTAATTCTATAGTTTTATCTTCCAATTTCAATGTCAGTTTCCGTCCAGATTGTTTACATATTAGATAAATTAAAATCTAATGATGTGTTCCGTCCATATAACTATTGTTTCAAATTGGATTGTAGTTTTTATTGTAGTTATACCAATCCTTACATGTGGGAATGAACTAGTGTTTGTTCAGATATTGTCTCGTATATATTTAATAGTGTTGGTATTGTACATACGATTGTATCATATGCTCTGATGAATCTCTAGATGTGTTTCAACCTTTATCCTGCCATGATTGAATACAATAATATACACGGCATTGAGTCATCGCTTTGTAAATATATTCTGATTTTTCACATTGCAATATTTGTTGTATTATCTCGGCTGGTTCCAAGATAGAGTTACACATCTTTTATAAATAAATATTTTTGAATATTTTATGTATTTTTAATATATTTGTTCTAGTTTAAAAAAATTAAATGTACATATATTATTTAAAATCAATTCTGTTTATTAAGTGTTCAGAGAACGTCTTTATCATACTGTTTTTTTCATTTGATATTAACTGGATAGTTTAGTGTTTCCCCTGTATGTTTTTGTCGACATTATCATTAAATGTTTAGCCCTTAGTAATAATTGTAATATTTTGTTTTTAATTTTTATATTATTTATAATTTAAATATATGATCTGACGTTTGCAATGCTATATCTTTTATTTTAAATGTCAGAACTTACGACATTATTTAACGAGAAAACCTGACACTAATATTTACGGTGGGGTCTGGATTTTTATCTTTGGAAGTCAAAGGTTGTCTGCGATATATTTTGAGTTAACCCTTTTAAAATGAAGGTTATTCCATGTCGTTAATAATGATAGGACCAATATAAATTTATATATAGAAGTGCACCAACGAGTGATGGTTGGTTCTCATGTTTATCTTTCTAACGAGAGTGATATAAATATGATAACCGACCATCACGAGTTCAGACATTACATCTAGAATACCATAAGTTTCCCGTCGGAATACGTTATTCCTGTTTCCGATCTGGGAAACTGTCGTCATGAACTCTGACGTCATAATATAAGACGCACAATTTGTGTTGCTTCAATGTCATTTATGCAGAAGGCATACGAAATCCCCGATTCTGAAGAAAAGACACATTAGTCGCATCTTGAGATCATGCAGTGGGGTCGAAAATCTTTATTGCAATGTGAAACATTTTCTAGGACAAGTCAGTGGTTAGTATACTAAAGGAAAGGAAATCAATGTCTAAAGAGCTCCAAAACATGTAGAAATTCGACAAAAGGGAAAAGGATGTTTCCTGTATGTTAAAAAGTAATCAGTAATCATTATGATGTTAAATTATTTCTGAAATGTCTTCAACTTTGTACCTTTTTGTGTAAATGTGTGTATTATTCATCATTATGTATTACAATGATTGTTTGTTAAAATAAAACATGTTCATCTTGCAATTTTGTTTATTTATTAATACATTTCTCATATATGCATATGTATTGTTGATGTAACTCAGGTGATGTACGTTATGTGTTATAGTAATGTACATGTATATAGTTCAGGTGTTATGGTGATATGGTGTAGGTGTTATTATGTACCATCCTCGAAATTCCAGGAGTTGTGCTCACTCTTTCTGGACGCTGGAATATGTAACGGAAAGTCGAGTAAAATATTATATTCGGCGTTGTGAAAGCGTAATCGTCGACATGTAGATTTATATTAGGCTATACTTAAAGAAATGTAAGAGGCAATCGTCTGGCATTCAAATATAATGGTACCGGATACATTTGATTCCATTTATAATGTTCCGATTAGTAAGACTCACTTTATCGACATCTAAAATATACAACGACTTCGGAGATTGTAGCCTTTAAATAATATAAACATCCACTATAATACAGCTCTTTCGTCGTCGTGGCACTTACAGGTGACGCTTGTTTAATTCAAAGAAATAAAGAGTAAAATGTGTGTAGTATACAACCGTTCCACTAGTCAGATAAGATCACTATAGCTGTCAAAGTTATGGCAAACCTCTGGGACTAGGAAATCCACTAGAAGAGCCTACCACTCTGTATCTTGAAAGACACGGGCATGATTGCACATTTAAAATGTTTCTTGGAGAACAATCCAGATATGACAAAGAAAGCAGCCTTCCTTTGCATCATGTAATGCAATTAATAACTTTACGTAAAACTGAAAATTTGGGAGTCGGAAACAGAATATTTATTTTTCACTTTCAAATTAAAAATCACTTTCAAATCTTCTTTGTTTTCATTATTACTGTTGTCGGCTTTTGTTTACACTGATATCCCGTATTGTCTCAAAAAGGAATTCTTTTAAAAAACAAATCAGAAATTGAATTTTTAATTATCTTACGGATGTGACTTTTTACCCTTCAATTAAAGAGTGCACATTCATTCCCCCTTTTCTGTTTTGTGTCCTAAATGAAAAGGCTTGATTACAATCCCCAGAAAATAAATAACATAAAACGCTTTCATTATATCAATTTTAAATAACTCTTTCGTATTTTTAATTTTAAAGTAACTATATTGGCCGAACATTTAAGGCATATGGGAAACAAAAATGTTGTTCAGTACAAAAAATAAAATAATCACCAACCTTCCCTTTTACAGATTTTTTTTGCATGATAAAAGCGAATAAGATTCATAATGATCATTTAAATAATTTTGGAAGTTGAATTTTATCATCATTTTATTTCCTGAGTGAGCCTAACTAAGAAAAAACACTGACCTATTTTCTAAAGTGCATTACAATCTGACTAAATTGTTCGCTACAATCCGATCTAATGACTTTGGGACGAAGCAAAAACGTGCATTTTTTATTTTTAAACAGCACTTGGTCGCCACGACAAAGTGAAAAAGTGCCGTTTTATTTATTAAAGTCGAGTATGAAATATTAGGCTGGTTTGCAAAGCAAAGAAGGGTCTGCCTTTCATTTGCATTCATCTCATTATGATCACACATTTGAGCTGATGTAGTACAGAATGCACTATGGACCCGAAATCGGTCAATCGAACTCCAGAACCTTGAGTTACCTTGGCTGTATTATGCATCAACTCTATTTGGCCAAGGGTAAGACGGTAAGTTGAACTCCAGGCCTAAGTAATGTGACTCCAACTCTTGCCGACTTCTTGCTATTAAAGTGGTCAGGTTATGGTTTTCCATGAGCTTTAGGTCAGTCACAGTCGTCCAAGTCATGTTCAAAACGGGATGTTAGCCACAGCTTTCAACACCCTGCTCTTCAGCACTATTGGGTCAATGGCTTATCGGCTATTCTCCATCAGGTTCAACGAAGGTACTGCTACAGTTGATGAGCACAATCTTCAGACTTGTTAATGCATTTTCAGACTTAATCTTACATTGTTTGTTGTTTTTTGCGTAAACTGAAATAGAACCTCCCTTGTGGAGCCTCTCTAGAACAATCTGAAAGTTTCGTAATCGTGATACATCATTAACCTCGGAGAGACAAAGATTCGGTTTCCCTACAGTAAGGTTATATACATGTATGTATATAAATACCAATTTCACATGGTATTTTGTTAAATAGTCTGTGGCTATGCTTTCAAATATAGGATGGTAAGTTGTTAGCACGAGACCTACAGAGAAAGTCAGTGAACTGCAACATGTTTCTGTAGGATGGTCGTCAAAGTTGGTGAAACGCCTACAAGAGTTAGTAACATTGTGGGTTTTAAGAAAGAGCTACTTTTCCCTGCTTGCAGGGAGTCACAGTTAAAAAGATCAGCTGCGTCGTGCTCGATATCTCCTCTTGCGTGTATCCTGCTAATAGATGCATAGACTTCCTAGTCTTGTCCTATTGTCAAATCATTGTCAACTTTACGAAAGAAAGCCTTATTTGATAAATGGCGATCCTGAGTCTAGTTTTATCTGTCATGACAACCACCGCCAAACCAGCGCCCCCTCACTTTGCAATGTTGTCTCGTTGAATAAAGGTTTGGCGTTGTGTTCAGAGACTTTCTGATTGATACATCAATATACAATACATCTCCAGCACACACACAGGCATACACACATAGGGAGATATTAGCCAGGTGGCATAGGACTAGTAGTTAGTGCCTGATAAGGCAGCTCCTGCGAATTCCTCAATATTGTATTGATTATCAAACATTATGTTTCATGTGAACCATGGGGGAATAACATCAAACTACAAGCTTACATACGACACACATGACTGATGTCCACCAGCAGACCCAACCACATTATTTGTTACGTGAAATGGTCATAACAAAAACAACGTACGGAAACTCTGATGAAATTTACAGGTTGCTTGTTTTTCGCACCATATGACGTTATGACGTATGGCCACTTCGTCGATATTGAACTTATCAATATAACTAATGTCTAAAGAGTTAAAATACATGTCAAAAGCTTTCCGAAAAGATATAAAATTCAGCACACAGGAGGGATCCCTTAGAACCTTCAATTATGTTACAAATAACAACTTTGTCTACACCAAATCATTTGTATTTAAACTAGTATTATGTGTACAATCTGCGTTCGTCCTTTAACAAATTGATAACCACAGTTGCACCAAATGTAAAGCAATATATAGACCAAGCTCATTCTTAAAACGCACCATAATTCGAAAGTCATATAACAATATAAGTCTTTTATATATAATAACAAGCTCATTTACCTGTTTCGAAAGTAAAAGCCATTTTCATCATACACCTATTTTGTTATGACATTATAGATCGACAGCAAATATATTAACAGAAAAAACATTCAACCGCTTGACAGCTGACGGCATCAAATTCCTGTAGTTCGGTACACATGTACACCTGGATCAATATAATGAAGCTTTATTTTATATATTGTTCATTCTATTCCCGCCAATCATAGACATTTCCTTATTACGTATGTGTTTTTAACGCATACGCCCTCTTTTTCTTCATATAAATAAGACCAGATGAATGTACTCAAACCAATTTGTTTTTAGTGACTCTCTCAGCTGTGAACCACACCAAGCCAAAACAGCAAAGATGAGTAGGCCATCATTACGAGGACTGGCAAAGATTATTCGGAAAAGGTAATCAATTCTTCTCCTCTTGTGATATGTCATTAGCTATTAATACAATTCGAATTTAAAGTTGCATAAACAAGTTCGACTGAGAAATTCTAATTAATTCATGACGTATAATCAATGAATTATTTCTAAATAATTAGAATGTTGTTGGTATGTTAATACAAATAAAAAAATTCATATTGATTTTATATGCATTATTTACCTTTATCTTTGCAGCATGTCGTTAACATTCCGCAGAAAACCAAAGTGCCAGAAGATATGTTGTGATAAATACCATTCCAGGGAATTTCTAGAAACAGACCTCATATTCAAATCTTTCCTGATGGATACATGTAAGTAACA